GTATTATAATTGGGGCTTAAGAAATAATTACATTGGATAATTAAATGCTTTTAAAATCACCTTAGGGTGATGTTTCTGCTCTATTTTTCTCATTTGGTATTATATTACTATAATATTAATAGAACTTTCAAATATGTTATTTAATACACATTGATCTAAAAGGGAAAATTAAAGAGGAACACTTTGAATTCCTTATATGAATATACTAGGAAACATTTTTAAAGTGTATTGAATTGTAAGAATGATTCTACTCTGCACACTAAAGTGAAAAATAGAAAGATTTTCCCAGTTAATTGGATAAAAAATACACTCACAGATATATCTAGATATTTAAATTAGATCTTTGAGGGCTTTCAAAAAATTATTCTCACACTTTGTTTTCTTTTTCTTAAAAAATTGAATGAAAAAATTTAAATTTATTAAGTGCACAAAGAATATATGAGTATATTCACACTACAAAAATTTGAAACTATTCAGGCCAAGCAAAACTCGCCCTGACAGTGTTTCTCCCTCCTCTGAGAGATAAGGATGTTACCAACTTAATAACCTATATAGGAAAAGAATCTGAAAAAGAATGGATGTATATATATTAGTTATATATATATAACTGATTCACTTTGCTGTATACCTGAAACTAACACAACATTGTAAATCAACTATACTCCAAGAAAAATTAAAAAAAAAAAAAGGGGTTGTTAGACACTGACCCTTGCCATCATGCTTCCCAGCCCCTTCCACCAACCATATTATGCCACTGTTAACTTTTGTTGTAACATTGTTATGGTTGGTAACAATTTTTGGTAAATTTTTGAATCTTTAATAACCTTAATTAGGTCTTTTGCTTTCTAGGTTGATTCTAAAAGATGAAAAGTAATAAACAGCACTTACATTATCATGACTATAAATATTGTGCACTACAGAGATAAACAATGTGATGTATTTCCTACTCTGCCATTCCAACGTCACACACTGTTGATAGTCAATATTACAATGAATTCTCCCTATTCCAGTCTACTAATTCCTCAAAATCATGCTGTATTAAAAAAAACTAACATCACACCTTTTATTATGGAGTTTTGCTTTTATTTTTCCTGCTGTTTCTAATTACTTTCGTCTTACTCTTTTTACTGTGAAGTGTAATAGTCTATGACATAGATACACTATAATTTACTTCATCCTCCAATATTATTGAACATTTAAGTTGTTTTCTTTTTTTTCCTACTCTGCATAATGTTTTAACAAATGTCTTGCCCATGCGTTTTTGCGTACATACAAATTTCTGCAGGATAAAATTCTAGAGGTGGAACTGCTGGGTTGAACGGAATGTGTATTGTAATAACTACTGCCAAATAGCCTTCAGAAAGGTATCACCATCTATATTCCCAGTAACATTATAAAGGAAGGTATAACTATCAATGTTTCTGAGACTCTTATTACTCATGTTGATTTTTGCCAATCTCATGAGTTAAAAGTATCTCATTGCTGTTTTAATTTGCTTTTTCTTGATTATTAGTGAGGAAAGCATCTTTTCAAAAGATTATTGTTACATGGTATTTCCTCTTAAATGCATTGTTTTCTTTTTGTTTTTCGTTTTTGTTTATGTTTAGGATTCCTTTTATATTTTGATTGTTCATTCTTTTTCCTGTTGGACTGGTTGAAAATATATTCTCTTAGTATGTCGACTTTCTTTCAACTTGGTTTGCAGCGTCTTCTGTCAAAGAGAAGTTTTAGTTTTCCTGTAGTTAAAAATCAGTCTTTTTCCTCCATAGGTTTTATACTGTCTTCCTTAAGATGGGCTTCTCTAGCCTAAGGAGATAAAGACACTCTCCTATATGTTTGCAAATATGTTTATATATATATTTTTTTAACATTTAACTCATTGAAAATGTTTTGTTTGTATATGGTTAGGTAATTTTCTTCATTCTGTATGTGCATATGACAAACTCTGTACAAATTCTCCAACTCCTGCGCAGAAAGGAGACATGATACCATCCTCTCCCTGTGCCTTTTTAAAATAACTTTTTAAATTAATTAATTAATTAATTAATTTTTGGCTGTGTCGGGTCTTCGTTGCTGTGCGCGGGCTTTCTCTAGTTGCAGCGAGCGGGGGCTACTCTTTATTGCGGTGTGCGGGCTTCTCATTGCGGTGGCTTCTCTTGCTGTGGAGCACAGGCTCTAGGTGCGCAGGCTGGGGGCTCTAGAGCACAGGCTCAGTAGTTGTGGCTCACGGGCTTAGTTGCTCTGCGGCATATGGGATCTTCCCGGACCAGGGCTTGAACCCGTGTCCACTGCATTGGCAGGCGGACTCTTAACCACTGTGCCACCAGGGAAGTCCCTCCCTGTGCCTTTTTAATTATGCCATCACACTTCTTATTTCTCTCCTACCCCTAAGGCAAAACTGGTCAGTAAGGCACATTTTAACAGCTCTTTCTAATGTTATAAGAAATTCCAGCACCTACTAAATGCCCACTCCTTTCTCTCTATGGAAGACATCCCTAGGGCTTACCTATATCCAGTTTTCTGCTCGGAACACAGAAGACACACTGATCAGATCCCATGTGATTAGTTGGGGCTGTGTAACTAGTTTTGGTCAATAAGTTCTGAGTGGAAGTGACAGGTCATTTACATGTCATTTCAGGCTGAGGTGCATACTGCTTGGCCTTGCAGCTTCTTTTCTGAGCCCTACATTGGCATGGTGGGGCACATGGAAGCAGCCTGTGTACTGAGGCATTCTATGGAGAACAGCTGCCCTGCCAACTTGCTCAGCCTATGGTGGACATGTTGTTAGGTCACTGAGATATTTGAGCTTGTTTATTACAATATCAAAAGTCAGATCAGGGAGTTCCCTGATGGTCCAGTAGTTAAGAATCTTCCTTCCAGTGCAGGGGATGTGGGTTCTATTCCTGGCCGGGGAACTAAGATCCCACATGCTGCAGGGCAACTAAGCCCGTATGCTGCAACAAGTGAGCCTGCGTGCTCTAGAGCCTGCACATCACAAACTAGAGAGAAGCCTGTGCACCGCAAAAAAGAGCCTGCTTGCCACAACGAAAGATCTCACATGCCACAAAGACCCAATGCAGCCAAATAAATAAATAAATAATTTTAAAAAAGGCAGATCAGTAAAGAATACCACTTCCCAGTCAACCTTGATTCTGCTCTATGTTTTTTTTTTAAGTTGACACTTCAAAGTTTTGGTGCTTTATCATTCAAAACAAATCATTTGCAAAATACCTTGCAACTGATTTGAAGAATACCAATATCATTTATTCATTATTTAGGTATATTTATTTAATACATACCCAGAACCAGATTCTGTGAATAAAATAAAAATACAAGAGTACTAGCCTCTCTCCTCATGGAACTTGGCAGTCATCCTATCAAGGAGGCTGTGCAGAGAATTGTTAAGGGTATGATTCTAGCATCAATGTTTTAAGTTTGAGTCCTGGCTCTGCCTCTCACTAGCTGAGTAACCTTAGGCAAGTTAATTAACCTTTCAGTGCCTCATTTCCTCATCAATAAAATTAAGAGTAAATGAGTTAATGCATGTAAAATATTTTTTACAAACAATAGCACTGAATGAATAATAGTTATTACCACTATTGGGACCATGAGGCTGGAATACACCAGATACCTTAAGGGTATATAGAGCTATATACTCTCAAAACACGGAGCCAACATAACCAAATCATATTCCCAGCCCAGCCATTTGCCTTGGGCCTCAGCATGATGTACTCACCACTAGAAAACTAGCAGAAAAGTCCTAAGGCAGTAAGAAGCAGGGATTATGAAAAGTACCTTGTGCTGACATCCCTCTTTTTTTTTTTTTTTTTTTTTTTGCGGTACACGGGCCCCTCACTGTCGTGGCCTCTCCCGTTGCAGAGCACAGGCTCCAGACGCGCAGGCCCAGCGGCCATGGCTCACGGGCCCAGCCGCTCCGCGGCATGTGGGATCTTTCTGGACCAGGGCACAAACCCGTGTCCCCTGCATTGGCAGGCGGACTCTCAACCACTGAGCCACCAGGGAAGCCCAAAAGATATCTATTTTTAGATGGCCTATAAAAGAGTGATATGTCTAGTTTATGGACTCTGAAATTCTTAGCTTAAGACTATAGTATAAGAACTTTGTATATATAGCTTATGGATACATATCCCATACATAAACATATACTTACAATTGTGTAGATAGACACACATTTAAGTCGGGCACATTCTATCGAGTGTGTCAGATTTGTTTTGAACCCTGAACTTAACATTTATCTGTTACCCAAGATCACACTAGTCAGTAGCAGAGACAAGATTAGAATCATGAAATCAGCGAATGCTCTTTCCATAACAACCCTGTCTTGTAGAGGAAGTAACCACCTTTGACCCACTAGAGCTGCAGTCAACACGGAAAAGGTAGTAATATATTACGTATGCACACATTTTTATTGCCAGCCAGTAGAACCTTATCTTCAACTGAGGTTTCAATATTTTCTCTGTAAATATACACCACTTCCTTTGTACACCACTATAGCTAAATTATTAATAAACACAGTAGAAGGCAAGGTCTTTGGTGTAACTGTAGATCTAATATTAGGTCAATTACAGAATCTAAATCCTTTCCTGCTATAAAAAACCTGCTATACATGTATTATTATAGCCCCTTCTAAACTACCAATCAAATCCCTAAGGGAAAGGGAAAGTAACATTTATTGTGATGCTAACATTTATATGCTAGGAACTATGGAAGAGTCTTAAACACAAACACAGACCATCAACAAATACAGTTTATTTAAATATATACATTATGCATAATTTTATTTCAGTTTTATAGGACACACAAAAAAAGAGCCCAGAGAAAAGTGTCTCAAGGAAAAAACCTGCAACCTTCTCATTTTTACTCTTGCTGGTCTGAACTTTGGTTCAACAGAAACATTGAACTATAGCATGTTGCCTCCAAAGCCATACAACCTCTGGATTTGTATGTAAGTGTTTTGTGTATATATGTTGATTACAACCAATATGTGATTGTTGTCAAAATATGTGACATGTGATCAGCAAACTTTTGAAAAAATTTCCATGATCTTACTGCTACCATGTGAGAAAACCACTCAGTAAGAAAACCACTAACACTTTGAGGTATATCCTTCAGAATTTTTTTCTGTGTCTATATATATATTGTGAATATATTTCCATGTCCAAAGTATATGTCTACACCATCTTTGTTAAAGGCCACAGATTTTCCCTTGTACCATAACTATCTACTATAATTTATGTATCAAATATCTTATTGTTGGTCAATTAAGTTGTTTCTAATTTTCCACTATCATAGTTAGTCTAAGTGGAACTGCCGAATCAAATTCATCCGAACAGATACCAGGACTATGTAAGGTAAAGAGCATGTAGCCAGGTCTTTGGTTCTCAGCATTCAGCCCATGGTCCCTTCATTCTTCTCTTCCTCAAACACAGTAATATGAAAGGAACATGGATATGGGAATGTATAGGATATGAATTCCAATCTCAATTCTGGTTACTGATTAGAATAATTACTTATTATCCATGGGATATGGATAGTTGGATTTAAATCTCAATTCTGATTACTCGTTAATCTTGTGGAAGCCATGTTCAGATACTCGAAGATGGGAAACTAGACTAAAATGGTCAACTGATCACCTGAATTACCTGAGAAATTTAACATATATTTCTGGATCTTGACATAACTACTGAATCTAGATCTCTAGGGCAAGACTTGGGAATCTGCATTTTCAAAAACTCCCTAAGAGCTTCTGATGCATTGCAGGTTGGGACCCACTAGACCAGGTTATCATCTCTCAGGGCCTCTCTCCTTCATCCTTTTTGCTCCCCTTCTCATCACCCCAGGCCCCATGCAGTTTCCACTGCAGCCCAAGAATTTTGTGTGTAACAGCACGAGGTTAAGCTTAAGTTAGTTAAAAAAAGCAAAGCTCTTGAGTCATTTGTTAAAAGCAAATTACAACCAATCTCATTTCTGTTACTTCTTATTAGCTCACTTCTTATTCAATTTATTTAAATGTTGATTTTGAAAAATAAGATTTTATTATTTTTTCAAGCCTAATTAAGATTTTTCTTGGTGTTCAAACAGATGCCGTCTGACAAATGGCAAGTGGGCTGTTTAGATTATAATTGAAGAGTCCAAAGTCACTTGAGATTCTGAAAATCTATGATTTTATTTCAGATAGACTTATAGATGCTAGAAAAATATACACACAGTTGGCAGGTCCAACTCTCTATCTCTGTGGGGAACATGCTAACATAAAAGTTTTATTGAGATTCAGCCTATTTCTGGGAGAGTAAAACATAATATACTGATTCAAAGGTACAGCCAGTCGACCAATAATAATTTAGAACACAGGGTTCATAAGACCTGTTTTCAGCTGTTTTTGAATATCAATTCAATGGAGCTAATATGGAAGGCTTAGAAATCATATGTAGTATTTTCATTTTTCATTCTTTTTTTTTTTTTTTTGGCTGCACCTTGCATCTTGTGGGATTTTAGTTCCCCGACCAGAGATCGAACCTGGGCCCTTGGCAGTGGGAGTGCGGAGTCCTAACCACTGGACTGCCAGGGAATTCCCTCATTTTTCATTCTTAAATAAATGTAGACAAAATATTTCTAACTCACCTCAATTTCTCATTAAGCTTTACATCTCCTGCATAAAAGGAATAAAGCCAGTGATTCAGAGAAGAAACTTAGAGTCTATGTTATATTTTAAAAGGAAATAGTTAATGGAATTTGACTTTTCTTTATGACTATAGTAAAATGAAAATTATATCTATTAATGTTTAAAGAACAAAAGAGAAAACAAGTGTTTTGAGACCTAAAAATGTATTATCTTAAGTGAACAAAGTTTTATTATTTTATCCGTTAAGACAGGTTTAGCCATGAGATTCTAATAATAATACCAGCCTTTTATTCAAGGATCATACTACTATGATAGTACCTATTTCATACTACTAGGATATGATAGCATTTTCAGTGGACACTTAACAAGGAAAATGAATTAGTGCTTTCTATCAAACATCAGCCCTGTAATGGATGACTATAATCGCTCAGTATTTTCTTCTGCACTCCTATTTATATCATTTGATACAATAAACCATTTGGCTCAGAATCAGTAATATGATGAAATCAAACTATTCCAGAAGACTTTTAAGGTGCTGAGCTGTTTTCTGCCTTGTACTTTATTTAAAATGTAATATCCCAGAACTGAAGCACCAAAGCTGACTATTACTGAGAGTCGTTTATCTATAGCTTCAATAACAAGACTAGTATCAAATATAAAACCATTCGTAATATTCTTCAGCAACAAAGTATCATTAAAATAACCCCAGGGCTCCAATTTAAGCTCACACAACAAAAAGAAACCTTGAATTAGAATCGTCTTTGTAGCCTCCATTTACTATTTGAGGGGTTAGCACAGAGAGTTAGGATTTAATTCTGTCTCCACAGGAGAGAGAAGACTGTCATGAAGCTAAAAAGGTGTAGACCAAAGGTCTTTCCCCTTTCGTGAGGGAAAACAATTTTTAATTCCCCGAAAGCTGAGAGATGTTTGTTAGTGACAGTGTGGAGAGGAACCATGCCAGATTTGCTCTTTCCCCCAGAATCCTGTGGGGTGTGAACGAAGTAGCCTGGTTGGTGAGGTGTCATATGATACTCTGATTTATAATTATTTGTATATTTGTCTTATCTTTTCCACGAGGCTATAAATCTCCCGTGGGAGCGATTGTGTATTTTTTGTGTCTCTGTGAAAGGATCCTGAAACACGGAGCGCCCTTTTGCACTGAAGATGACCTTAATGGGTTTGGCATCACAAAGATGGGCCTAGAATAAGTTAAGGTTTAGAAGTGAATTTCATTAAATCAAAACTGCTGAAGTACATATGCAGGGGAGAAAAATGTGATGTTCTCAAATTAGGGGCAGGCTAAGGCAGAGAGTTGAGAAGAAAAAAAGATTGCAGGGAGGTGGAAGATTATGTCTTGTAGTTTTACGGGGTGGAGTAGAGTTGAAAGACTGAGGAAAAAAGGCCCGCTGTTCTCTTTGAGTTTCCGTGGAAGGTGCAAGGTGAATGCCTGCCCTGTCTCACTGTACTCCCACCTTCAGTAAAGTCAACCGAATGACAAAAGTACTGTGAGAGTGGAATTTGCAGGGGGAGGGAGGTGGAAGTTGAGCCAAGGTTGCATTTCATGTTTAGTTGATGCTGCTGGGGATAAAGAAAGCGCTCGAGAAATAGCATGAGTAAGTTCTTCTAATTCTGCAGAACCAACAGATCAGTGCCAGAGATGAGCAGAATAATACAACTTCACAGACATTACAGTAATCTTGGGGAAGGCCATTCCCACCATTCCCAAGGGAAGAAGGCCTCCACCATTCTCAGTAAATACTCACTAGTTTAAATGAACTACTCCTCGGGCTTCCCTGGTGGCGCAGTGGTTGAGAGTCCACCGGCCAATGCAGGGGACACAGGTTCGTGTCACGGTCCGGGAAGATCCCACATGCCGCAGAGCGGCTGGGCCCGTGAGCCATGGCCGCTGAGCCTGTGCGTCCGGAGCCTGTGCTCCACAACGGGAGAGGCCACGACAGTGAGGGGCCCGTGTACCGTAAAATAAATAAATAAATAAACGACTTCTCTCCCGCCTCTGTTTATTAAAATGAATCATCTCAGGCCTTGCACTTGGACCTTGCTAAGATTGGCTGTGGTGAAATAGCTCCCTGTTTATATATGACAACTGTATGCACTTGAACAGCATATCTGGATTACAATGGACGTGGAAATCTCAATCGAAATTGAGTTACATAATCAGAGTGCCGGGCCCAGTCTTTGGGTGTTGGTCAGAGTAGGCTAACTGCTGTAACAAACGGCCCCCAAGTCTCAGTGGTTTATAAATAAAATAAACAATAAAAGTTTATTTTTTGCTCACATAACAGTCTAATAGCAATCTATAGCTTCAATAGCAAGGCTAGTTTTTTGGGGGGGGTTTTTGTTGGGTTTTTTTTGCGGTACACTGGCCTCTCACTGTTGTGGCCTCTCCCGTTGCGGAGCACAGGCTCCGGACGCGCAGGCTCAGCGGCCATGGCTCACGGGCCCAGCTACTCCACGGCATGTGGGATCTTCCCGGACCGGGGCACTAACCCGTGTCCCCTGCATCGGCAGGCAGACTCTCAACCACTGCGCCACCAGGGAAGCCCACAAGGCTAGTTTTAAATATAAAATCATTCATCAGGCTTCTCGGTAATGAGGTCCCATTGAAATAACTTAAGGCTCCAATTTAAACTCCCATCACAAAGAGAAACCTTGAATTGGAATTAGGGGAAGTGCTCTGCCCCACGCAGGAAGTCTGAGTACTCCAGCACATCCTCAGAGAGCAGGTACAGGAGAGTGGAACAGCTGTTTTTATTGCCAGGGCCCAAAAGTGCCACCCCTCACTCTGCCCACAGTCTACTAAGGAGAGCTCTTCGCGGTCACTTTCTAGGTGCAGTGGGCCTGCACCGTGCAGACTAGCCATGCACCAAGGAGGCCGGGAGCATGCGTAAAGGGGAACAGCTGACCAGCCTCCACCATTCTCAGTAAATATTCGCTAGTTGACGTGAACTACTTCTCTCCCACCTCTGTTTATTAAAATGAATCATCTCAGGCCTTGCACTTGGCCCTTGCTAAGACTGGCTGTGGTGAAATAGCTCCCTGTTTATATATGACGACTGTATACAACAAGAAATGCCTGAGGGGCACAATTCCTTAACCCAAAGCAGTGTGCTGAGGGTGGTGAGAAGGGGGTAGACCTGATCTATATCCTCTGAAGTTGCATTTATTTATACTTGACTGTTGTGACTAGTGACTTGTTTTTACCTATCTGGGAGCAGTATCTCCCACGTAACATGTTTTACTTACAAACACATATAGAAACACTTGTCCTCTGTCCTGCTTCTTCTAAGTGCTTTATTAATACTAACTCACTGAATCCTTTTAATCCTATGAGGCACACAATATTTAGCTCCATTTTATAGATGAGAAAACTGAGGCACAGAGAGGACAGAAAACTGCCTATGAGTAATAGCTCATAAGGGATGGGACAGAGATTCAAAACCAGAGAGTTGGGCTGGAAAGTCTGAGCTCCTAAGTACCACACCATGCTACCTCCCCTCCAGCAAGCCTCTCTCTCCCCTTTCCACACTTGAGTTTGCAACCCCAGAACATTATGTACACAGTAGGCGTTTCCACAGGGGCGTTGTTCTTTCACACTGCTTCTGGTTGGTATTTATAGATGGAAATAGAGCCTGATAAGCATATATTTCAGGCTCAACAATCAAATCCTAGAAACCCTTAATCCATGCTAGATTAAAGCAATAAAAAGAATTCCAGGCCCTAATAGCAAGCTGTTAGAAAAGACAGGCAGGAGTGACTTTTACCCTTACCTACAAATCATATCCTATTCATTCATTCATTTTATTCAACCAATATTTATTAAGTCCCCTCAAAAGTCATGAGATATAATCGTGTGCCAAATAGACATGGTACTTGCTCTCATGAACCTTGTAGCCAATAAAGGAGAGATACTTGAATCAGACATGCTTATTTGCACATCTGAAACTAACACAGCATTGTAAATCAACTATATTTCAATAAAAAATTAAAAATAAAAATTAAGGGAATTCCCTGGCTGTCCAGTGGTTAGGACTCTGCGCTTCCACTGCAGGCGACACAGGTCTGATCCCGGGTCGGGGAACTATCCCGCCAGCCACGTGGCACAGCCAAACAGAGAAACAAAAAACCAAATACGCTTACACATAGATAAATTAATTACAACGGTATAAGTTCTACGAAAAAGTAGAAGAGTATACGTGTATAGAATGGGGAATGTGAGTAAGTCTGAAGATTCAGGCAGGCTTGCTTCCCCCAAAATGTGACATTTGAGTAGTAGTTAAATAAGTTGAGGGAGGCATGATGGGGGAAAGAATATTTCAGGCAAAAGGAACGTCCTGAGTAGAGGGAAGGAGGCAGGGCTTTGGAGTGAACTGAAGAAAGGCAAATGGGGCTGTCACTCAGAGCGCAGGGGAGAGGGAGGTATGAGAAGAACATAACAGAGGATCCTGAAGAGGCTCGCAAGCCACAGTGAGGATTTTGGTGTTTATCCCAAGAACAATGGAAATCCAAAGAAGGATTTTGAGCAGGGAAAGTGACATGATCAGATTTTCATTTTAGACAGATTGTTTTGGCAGACAGATTTGAGGGGTTCATAGTAGAAGCAGGTAGATCAATTAAGAGGCTACTGCAATTGTCCACAGATATTTACACCTATACAACTAACTCCCACTTCTGTGTGAGCTGTCCTTGCCAATGGCCCTTGAAACTCAAGATACAATAAGACCTTTCTACACGGACTTGAATTTTGCTTATTTGGGCATGGATATCCTATCTCTCCTTGAGGTGAGGACACTTTTAGGACTCCAAATATAACTTGTAAGAAGGTATTTTGCAGTTACATCTTCTTTCCCCATTATAATTTAAGATCAATAATGTGGAAGCAGTGGGTCTTATAGAGGGCATCTAGATAACTGGATAATAAAAAATTGAAAGATTATATAAGTAGATCATTGAATATAATAAATATTTATGGTACCTGTGAGTGAAAGGAAAAAGCATATAAGAAATCGTAAGTGAAACAAGAGGCAATTTTAGAGTTGTTTCTTCGGCGGAAGGATTTCTCAGGAAGGAGGCTAGGGTCTGACAATTGAATCTGGAGTATTTTTCTTTTTTCATTCATGTGACATTTTAAGAACATTATTCCAGGACTGGTATGAGATGGCCCTCTTGGAGTCAGGGATACTTGTTTGTGCCTTACTGATCCTCTGTCCCTGAGGTTTTGACTGCAGTAAGATTTATGATGGCTTACGAGCAAGCAGAAAGGTGAAATGAGGGCATGAGGATCAAACCTGTTTCCTTTAAGAGCACAACCCACAAGCTGTGCTTATACCCCAGTAGCCAGAACTTAGCCACACAGCCAGGGGAGACTAGAAAATCTTGTCTGTTACCAGGGAAGTGAGGAACAAATATTAGGGACAGACAGCATTCTCACTCACAGAGCTGTGGGTGGAATGAGACTGTCTATTGGGAAAAAAGACATTAAATAATTATACAGATTATACAAAATAATTATACAAAGTTATGGCTGTATAATACAATTACTGTAATTATAAGTAAAATTACAGGTGCTGTTAGGGTCAATAACGAAGGAGTCAAACCTAATCTGATGGAAGAACAGGGATGAGAGTGGGGCCCCATGGAACACTTTTCTAAGTAAATGATATCAAGACTAAGAAAGACCTGAAGGAAGATGAGGAATGAACCAGGGAAAGAGCATTCTCAGTAGAGGCAATCAGAAGGAACATGGTACATTCTAGAGACCCAAGACTTTAGCCCAGGGAGAAATGGGAGAGAAGGCAGGACTCTCAGGAGACCTGGAGTAGCTGGAAGGAAAGGAAAGTGGCTGGAGATGAGTGTGGAGAAGAAATTCAGTGAAGGGCTTTACGATAGGAGTAAATGATGAGATCTGCCTTTTAAACATTACCCCAGCTGCAAAAATAAACAGGTATGGGATGGGGGCAAGACCAGAGGCAGAGAGAGGAGGTAGCAGTAAACCAAGCTGAGATGGAAAGAAGTGAAAAGATCCAAGGTATTTCAGGAAAAGTCTTGGGAGGATGAATTTTCTGAGTTCTTGTGCGTCTGAAAATATCTTTATTCTACCCTCAGAAGTAAATGCTAGCTTGACTTGGTTCAAAATGTTAGACTATAAATCATTTGTGTTCTCGGAATATGAAAGCCAGTGCTATATTACCTTCTAACAATCGGTGTTTCCAATGTAAAAATCTGATTCCAATCAATCCTTGTTCCTTTGTAGATTGTTCTGTATTTAAAAATTTTAGAATTTTCTTGTTTTCCTGAGAATACTAAAATTTTACCAGTATTTGTGTTGGTATTAAAACAATTTTTTTCCCATTTGTCCTGATTTTTCTGCAGCCAGTGGTACTCATAGTGTGAAGCCCTTTGACTTTCTTCAGCTCTGGGAAATTGTATTTTTCTTCTAGAAAATTCCCCATTCTTCCTCTCTATTTCCTCTTTATATAACTCCTGTTAATGATTGCTAGAACTTTTTAATTATCTGAAATATCAAACTATTCTATAATACATAATATTGCCATGTCCTCTTGGGTTAAGAAACATGGCTTTTGATCTTTTAGCTCACTGATTTGATCTTCAATTGAGTATATTACATATTTATCGCACCTTTTGAACTTAATTTCAGAGACACGCTTTTTCATTTATAAATACAGATTTTATTTTTATTTTATTTTTTATTTATTTATTTTTTGCGGTACGCGGGCCTCTCACTGTTGTGGCCTCTCTAGTTGAGGAGCACAGGCTCCAGACGCGCAGGCTCAGCGGACATGGCTCACGGGCCCAGCTGCCCCGCGGCATGTGGGATCTTCCTGGACCGGGGCACGAACCCATGTCCCCTGCATCGGCAGGCAGACTCTCAACCACTGTGCCACCAGGGAAGCCCCAGATTTTATTTTTAAAAAATGAACTTTATTTAGAGGTATAATGTACATACAACAAAATAGTCGTATTTTGGGTAGTTAGATGGATTTTGACAAATGCATATAATCATGTGTATAGAATATATACTATTACAATCAAGATATAGAACATTTTCATCACCTCCAAATTTCCTTGTGCCTTGGAGCTGTCAATACTCCCCCATTTTCCTCACACCAGGCAACCATTGGTCTGAAATTTATCACTGTAGATTAGTTTTGCATGTTCTATAACTTCACATAAATAGAATCATACAGTATATGGTCTTTTATATTTAGTTTTTCTGTTAGCCATAATGTTTGTGTGATTCATCCATGTTGTTACATATGGCTATAGTTCGTTCTTTTTATTTTTGAGCAGTATTCCATTATTTGGGTGTGTTACAAGTTGTTCAATTGCCTTACCAGTTGATGGGCATTTGGGTTCTTTCCTGTTTGAGGCTATGAAGCTACTATGAACATTCACTTGCAAGTCTTTGTGTGGACATATGCTTTTATGTGTCTTAGGTAAATACCAAGGAGTGGAATTGCTAGGTTTGTGATAAATATATGTTTAACTTCATCAGATTCTGCCAAATGGTACTCTGAAGTAGATGTACTATTTTGCATTCTTACCAGCAATGTATGAGTGTTCCATTTGCTCTACACCCTCATCAACATTTGTTATTGTCAGGCTTACATTTTAGCCCTTCTAATGGGTGTATAGTAGTATTTAATTATGGATTTAATATGCATTTCCCTAATGTGTAATGGTGTTGTGCATCTTTCCATGGACTTTGGGGCCATTCACACATCTTCCTTGGGATACCTTTTACCCATTTTTAAATGGAATCATTTGTCTTCTTATTGACTTGTAGACCTTCTGGTTAAAAGTCCTTCATATGTGTTACAGAAAGTTTTTCCTGTCTCTGCTTAACTTTTTATTAACAGTGTTTTTTGAAAAGCAGTGCCTTTTGAAGAATAATTTTAATTTTGTAGAAGTATAATTTATAATTTTCCTTCTATAGTTAGTGCTTTTTGTATATGATGCAAGGAGTTATCCAAACTTCTTTTATTTTCCCCCAATTGGAAACACGGATGTCCAGTTGTTTTAGCAAATTTTTTGAAAAGACTATCCTTTCTCTATGGGATTTTTTGGGCACCTTTGTAAAAAATGAACTGACCACATATGTTTAGGTCTATTTCTGGGTTTTTTATTGTTTCTTTAATCCCAATGTCTATCTTCATACCAACATCATACTTTTGCTTTATAGTAAGTCTTAAAATCAGGTAGTGTATGTCCTCTAATTTTATTTTTCAAAATCCCTTTGGTTATTCTTGGTCTTTTGCATTTCCATGTAAGTTTAGAATTGGTATGTCAATTTATGCAAAAAAAGCTGCTGAATTTTTTATTGAGATTGCATTAAATCTACAAATAACTTTGGGGAGCATTTACATCGTAACAGTATTTAGTCTCTTAAGAATGTACATGGTATATCTCTCCATTTATTTAGGACTTCTCTAATTTCTCTTAGCAATGTTTTCTAGTTTTCAGGATGTAGGTCTTGCATATACTTTGTTAAGTATTTTACTTGTTTTGGCTACCTTAAATCGTATTATTTACATTTTATTTTCTAATTACTTGTTGCTAGTACATATAAATACAAGTGAATTTTGTATACTGACCTTGCATTTTATAACTATGCTAAATTAACTTATTAGTCTTATTTTTTTGAAATTCCTTCAGATTTTTTATATACCTGATTATGCCGTCTGCACATAGCGGAAATTTTACTTGTTCCTCTCTAATCTATATGCTTTTTATTCTCTAGCCTTACTGTACCAAGCTAGAATCCCCTAGTACACTGTTGAATAGAAGTTATAAGAGCAGTCATCTTAGCTTTGTTTTTTTAAACAAACTTGGAGAAAACATTAAAACTTTTTTTAAAAATTTATTTATTTTAATTAGTTATTTTTGGCTGCATTGGGTCTTCATTGCTGTGCGTGGGCCTTCTCTAGTTGTGGTGAGCGGGGGCTACTCTTCATTGTAGTGAGTAGGCTTCTCATTGCAGTGGCTTCTCTTGTTGTGGAGCATGGGCTCTAGGTGTGCGGGCTTCAGTAGTTGTGGCACGTGGGCTCAGTAGTTGTGGCTCGTGGGCTCTAGAGTGCAGGCTCAGTAGTTGTGGTGCACGGACTT